AAGTCCCAATCTCTGCATTAGGGCAATGGACTTGAGATCAGCGGTCGTTTTGTCCTGCGACAAAATCAGATCACCATGGAGATGGGATTCGCAAACAAATCCAACGGACAGCTCTTCGACTTTGCTATGCAGCTCAATAAGAACAGGTGTGTATGAATAAAAACAGGTGCGTATGCGTACATCCGTATGCTGTTGCTGCATTGGGTATAGATGTGGCTATGCAGTGGCTGTTGTCGTGTCGTGTCTGAGATTGGTCACAGTGTACGTACACGCATTCGTCGCTAATGCACGTGTGTAGTGTGAGGCAACTCACTCCGACAACGCTCTCCACCGTCACCAGATGTGCTGCTAACAAACACCGTCGTTAACGTCGTGTGCGTTAAACACGTCTGCCTATGTGCGGAGTGTCCTGTTACACCCATCTGTTGTCATGTATGTGTATGTATTGCAATTATCTGTTGTCATGTATGTGTATGTATTACAATTATCTGTTGCCATGTATGTGTATGTATTGCAATTATCTGTTGTCATGTATGTGTATGTATTGCAATTTTTAATCCCCGCCTTCACCGTCCGTCGTCAGTTGATACTGTCACACAACCACACAGCGTCGTGTTCTGTATGGCTAAGGCTAACTCCAATGTGTACCGTTGCTAAGGCTAACCCCAATGTGTACCTTTGCTCTGTCCTGTGCAGTTTTGCGCTGACGCACGTGGACGCGTTGCGCGTCAACCCACCGCAATTGCAACCCAACCAACCAATCGCCCAGGCCACCGTAAGTGCTATTTATAGTTTTATCGTGTTCTATTTATAGTTCAACGTGTTCCTTTCATAGTTCAACGTGTTCTATTTATAGTTCTGTCGCGTATTATTTATAGTTTTATCAATTGGTATTACAATTCAATTAACTAACCTTCGCCTGTGTCTGCAGTGGACTGCTTGCGTGCATGAGTATCGTACACATTTGTTTTAAACTCTTAGTCTCATACGACAAGCATGCTTTGCACATGTGTATGTATGTGCTGTACATTCACCAATAGAAAATGACACTACAAGTGACTGTGTGCGCTGTATGTGTGTGGTATGGGCTGATACCTTCATGTGATTTATG